TTTTATCACCTTCTGTTTTACTTGTCTAGGTATGTAGGCATGTATGTGATGTATGTATGTATGGCATGTTGCATGTATAGTGTGTTATTTATGCTGATTCATCAGTTATAATATTTGCGTTATCATTACTTGATTATTACTTGACCCGGTATATATATTTTTGTGCGTTTATGTCTGTATTATTGTCACTCGACCTTTTCGTCGGTTAGACTTTTAACGTTCTGCTATGCTTTGAGTGATTATTCAGTTAGAATTTTATAGTGTACTCTATGTCAAGTGCTGGGGGTCAGGGGCCTGTCAAGCTGCAACTGCAGCTTTTTCCCTGCTCTCCACACTTTGTTGGAGTGAAAATAAACGATTACATATAAAAGAGCGGACAGACCGCCCCTTCGGGGCAGTCTGTCCGCTCTTTCGTTTTTTATTGCTACTCTTCACCCTCCTCATGTTCCTTTTTTACACCGACTAGATGCAGGCTACCCACGCTCTACGTCGTGTTGACCGCCTCTTCAGTTTTGCAAAGGACTTCCATCGGTTTCTGACCGTCTCCAAGAGTCGCCGTTCTGGGGCTCTAATCTGGACTTCAATCTTATCTGAAAACGCCCTGTTGTCAAAAAAGTATCATTGGAGCCGACGTAATGCGGCAAAGCCTCCAAAACGAAGACATGCTGGCCCAAAATGAATGATGGTTTGTTGTCGTTTTCCTCTTTGGGAGGTCGTATGTTACTCAATGTTCGATCACCAACACAAGTCACTGCAAACGGTTAAGAAGAGTTTAAACAAGATAGAAGATGGATTGATATGCAATCCAGCCACAATTAGAGAAATGAGCTGCGTTTCTGCATTAATAACAAAAGTCAATTAATGGCTAAGCCTATTTTTTATTAAAATGCTCGATCATTTCGATATGGTTTTCGCCGCTTCATATAAAGTAGTTTTTTGGGGCGTAATTTGTAAATGCGCCCATAAACGCGTTTATTTTACGCATTTCGTGAATTTGTTTGCATAGAAACATTTAATTCGACTTTTTAATATTTTTACATGATGTAAACCTCTCATAAAACAACAACTAAAATATATTAGTACATGCATAATTCGCTGTGTAATGGACAACTGTGCCATGCACCATAATGACGACTTGGCAATCTCCACGCCTCGAGCTTTGAAATGTTATATCTCAGGAAGAAAGTTAACTGGGGCGTTCACACATAGCTGAAAGTACTTCGAAGGGCACCTCCTTCGCATACAATGTTTACATCAATATTAAAAGAAAATAAATGTATATATATTTATTACCCGGACCATCATGAGATAAGAGGTGGAAACTCCCTTCCTATATAAGAGACGACAAAACATAACTGCTTTATTTTTGCTCATCGTCTAGGAAATAAAAAAATTCGTATAATTCAAGTGACGACACCGTTGATCCTTCATGGAGCAGCACCATTCGAGTAAAAATAGTTCGTAGAAACCCCCGGCATAGAGTGGTGTTTGTGATACGGTATAATTTCCGCGGAGGTCGCGCTGGTAGGGGTTCCGAGGTGCAGTACCTTTCAACGATGTTGACTTCACTCAGAATGCCACCCTCGAATTTCGACGCAACACTTCCGCGAAAAAGGCGGTTATTTCCCGGCGTCGACCTCGAAACGATCCAGCCCAGACCGACGTCCAGCGCTCTTGGCCGACGAAGCCGTCAGTGGACGAATGGTCGGCTGCACAAACACCACCCCCTCCAAGTAGCCTCTCAGGGACATTAGGAATCAATACACGAGCGGACAGCCGGCACGCCGAGCGACGGAGCAGGAAATTTCGCTGCCGTTGGGTTTCCCTGGAATGCCGCAATAGCGCGGCGGCCAAATAAGCGCGCTCTCGCAACGTTCTCTCTCGTAACCAGTTTCCGTCCTTTCTGTTTCTTTGTGTGTCCGTTTTTGCTCTTCTGTTTCTGTATTTTCCGCTTGTCCGTTGCGCGATCCGGTCGAACTGACCTTACTCGCGTGCTCACGCAACGACTGCAGGCTACGGCTGTTGACGTTTGTTTTGTCTCTTTTCTGTTGAGATCATCGACGCGTGTCACGCGTCCGGTGGGCTGAACGTTTTGTTCTAAACGTTGTAACGATTACTTATGCGCACCGTCGGTCTAACGATGAAGCATTTTAAGCTTGGTTCCCCCTTATTTTCTCCTCAAAAACGTCAAATGAGTCGTTAGTTGTTTATACAGCAGGAGGTTAGTCTGCCAGAACATAGCGACATTGTTACACCCTGTAGATAAGCAATTTAGCCAGAGCAGTATGACTGCTAGCCTGAGGTCTTTAGCGTGCACCATGCAGTAGTGATACACGACCGCATGCCGGTACGATGCTCATCCACATCAAAAAGGGCAAGGGAGGAGATTGAACCCAGGGATCCCTGGGTTCTGCAGCGCGACCTTTCCCTCCACGTGCTCCGAGCTGGTGTGCGTAAACCCCCACTCGGCCACCGATTCCCCATTTTTTCCTCCCCTTCCGTGAAGAAATAAGGGTGATTACGCAGCGAGCTGGTAAAGTTTGCAGGGATCCTGGGTTAATTCCCCACCGCTGCCCGTTTCGAACTGGATGAGCATCGTACCGGCGTACGGCCGTGTATCACCACTACGTGGTGCACGTCAAAGACCCCACGCTAGCAGTTGTACTGCACTGGCTAAATGACTCATCTAGAGTGGGTAACAATGTCGCCATGTTCTGGCAGACTAACCTCCCTCTGTATAAACAACTAATGACTAATTACTTCAATTACTGGTGAAGTTTGCGACCCAAATCGCGCAAGAATTAACAAAAATATTTTGAGAATCGTAATAATAGAAAATTTAAAACTTCCCCAGTGTTTGTTACTTCTTGTTTCCATCCAAAGTCATCAGTGTGCGTATGCCGAGTAATGTCTGTGCTTTTAATTTCTTGCGGATGTGGGTATAAACTAGCCCCTGTAACGGCCAGTAAGCAACAGTATAAATAAATAAATATATAGGCAATATTAGTATGAATGGCCGATTTTATGAATTTATGAATTTATCAGCATAAATATAAAGACGTTAGACGTGGCTAAGTATTTAACACTAAGAATGTCGTCACAGTTGCTGCCTCAAACGTATAACAGGAAAGACACGAGCCGTTAACACATTTTTTTTTCTCACAGGCTGTAACCATCTGGAACTCCCTCCCCGAGGAAATAGTACTTACTTCAGACCCATCCATTTTCCTCCAGCCAGTCATCAGCTTACAGCTCTGCTAACCACCACTGTCCTACCAGATTGTCACTGTATGCGGTTTTTATTACTTTTTTTAGTGTTCTATTATATTTGTTAGCCCCCCCCCCCCCCTCCTATCCCTTTATGTAATACCCCCATCGGGCCATTAAGGAGGCACAAATGAATGAAGAAATTCAAAATATGTACAGACAGCTAACTTCTTGCGCATTAGATATGGGCAGTAGCAGGGTGTGACTGTATTTTCCTGTTCTTTGAGTCAAGATTAGTTTTGAAAGAGTATATATTTCGTTTAGTACACTCGTGTTGACGCTGAGTCAAAACAGCTAATGTATTTACCGAAAACTAATGTAATCAAGTAGGCTTGCAACACTATGCGCTTCGTCCACTTGCTTTTTTCTTGATACGAGGTTCTCCGTTCTAGAAATGCAGCAGATATTGGAAGAGTTCTGTCTATTATTACCCTCTCGTATAGCCACTGAATCCAAACGTCCCATATGACCTCTCACGATACCTGCCTAAGCGAACAGAAGCTGCTATACATCGACAGCACATCCCTTCTTTTAAAATGCTGCACACAGGATGTAATTGAGTGGAAATCAAGAGAACAGTAGATTCGTAATTATAGTGCCGAAATATCAATACAAACTGTTCTAATAATTATTTTTCAATGAGCTATCATTTTCTTTACTTAAACCGGTAATTTTAAATTACATCCTTAACCATATAGGCAAGACAGATTTCTGACGGAGAAGGAAAAACAACAATAAGGGGGTTGACAGAAATAAAAAGCAAAACAAGATATAGGTTTAGAGCGTCAAAAAGCAAAGCGATACCTGGAACGAACGAAGAAATATTGATTCTCCGAAATCTAGATTATGATATCTGTTCCCGATTAAGCGACCCATAGGTTTCATTCAAATATTGCCGTAAACTCCTCATTGCCCAGAAAGTGAATGTAACGAACTAGATGTATGTGGTGTAGTCCTTTTCTTTCTTCCCCGTGTGTAGCATTTTTGGTTTTCCTCCAGGTATATACTATTTAAGCGCATGCCATTAACCAGACGGACACTTGACACTGATGCGGCCTTTCCCACTAATGTCCTCCGTCTGCATGCGATACGGAGAAGCGCGCTTCCTTGAACCCCTTGCTTACGCGTACTCGGTCTCAGCTTACCGTGGACAGGAGTGGACGCCTACGAGTCATCCCAGCCAATGAAGCGCCGCGATTTTATCACGTGACTACGTGTCCCGCACATCGCCGAGCCTCTCCCGAGGATCCCGTGTCACTTTGACGCCATCGAATCGGCTTCGATGGCTCGTAGGAACCTCCGCGCTCCATCGTAAGCTGAAACGGAGCAGAGTGCCTGTTTTTGCGATGGCCGGGGATTACCTACCATCAACAAAGAAAAATACGACGCAGCAGCCTTTGTCTTCTAAATGGCTATTACTAGACTCCATCCTTTGTGTTCTAAATGACTATTACCAGACTCCGTTTATTCCTAAGCTAATAGTGTGGTGGTAGCTAAGCTACTCTCTGGACCAATCGCACACGTCTATCTTTGACCACGTGATCACGCTCCCGCCCCGTGTACCCACGCGCGAAAAGCGGGGTCCGGCTATGAACGGGAGGCGGTTAATCGGTCCGGAGAACGCGCAGGTTTTATCGTACTCTCAGCTTAGGGTTTAACCGAGTACATATCGTTACGTATACGACGTCACGTGTCTGCCAATCGTATATATACGCGAGATCTGAGTGCGAAAAGACATTCACGGAATCATTGCCTCGAGGAGCCTGCTGAACATCACGAGAAGATGAAGACCACGGTGAGTGTCTCTGGCAACCTCCACTGACTTTATCTTTTAGGGAATGAACCGATAATGAGTTGTAGAATGGCAGTGAAGCGCAATCGCGAATCTTGCGTAAACAATTACCTAGCGTATCAATAGCCACAGCTCGGTTTATAGGAAACCACACATTTTTCTACGTTTGTCCGCTAAATATTTCATCTCATATTATTAGGAACCAGTTGTTGCTTAAGGTATGTCGAGAGGCCCTTTAAAATTATCGTCGACGACTAACGAGCTGTCGACATTTTTTTATGTCTAATATTTATGCATGTTGCACGACACTGATTCCTCAATCAACCACTTGAAGGTAAACATCTTTGACAGAGATCTGTCTGGTTGGGTGAAATGACAACATTGAAAGAGAGTTCTTTTAATTTTTTCGGTCGTCACCAAAATCGCCTTAAAGCAAGCTGCCTTGAGATCTACCCACTATCGTTCAATCTGAGCCAATCAGAGCCCGGCGTCGTTCTGACGTCACCGCAACTCCCGCAAAAGAAGCAGACGAAGTTACGCTCCACATTGAGTCCAACGGATCATGCGTTGGCTGCGTTGGCCCTTGATGTGAAGCGGAGCATGAAGATGTTCTAAGAACGCATTAAAGGCCCTTTTTATATATTAGGCGCTGCTTTCACCTCTTGAAATATCTTCTTTTTTTAATTCCGATATCTTGAACCATTTTTTTGTTTTGTTTCAAGTGTAGGTTTGAAAAGAAACAAAACAAAAAAAAAAAACGTTCTAGATTCAAATAAATTAGTAATTCGCTAATAGACCTGGTGAAGGCACAATGCCTACTTTAGAATGTTTTTTATTTTTTTTATTTTGATAATTATTTGCTTACGAGACGACGCGAAACTTTTTAAGGAGATTTCTTTGAGGTTCAAAGGCAGTTACCATCGTGTTTTGTTTACGAAGAATATTGACCATCTATTTTATAAAACCGACTTTACAGGGTGCTAACAGGAACGATGCGTACGCAACAAGCGTGTTAGTCGGCTCGTTCGATTGACCTGCACTTATACCGCACCGGTACAGGAATGTCTGGGGCAGTGTATACTTCCGGTACGTGTATTGAGATAAGACCGGAAGAACACTGCCCTATACTATTCTGCGCTGTTGCGGGAGGTGCAGGAAAATTGAACGAGCCTAGTATATTCGGAGTGTTTTAGGGTGGTACACGATATAGACGCTTTAAATACGTGCCAGATTACAGGCGCCATTCCGACCTTCTTTTAGGGGCGAAGCTCCTTAGGGGCTAGCCATGTCCGTATGTCCGTCCGCCGTCGGGTGCACGTGCTCCTACTCGTGAGCTCACGCGCTCACGGACTCACGAGCACGTGAGCAAGTACTCCCGTGCTCGTGTAGAGGAAAAAAAAAAAAAAACGCATCTCCACGCGGTGAATGATGTTGATTGGAGCGAAGCTCTGGTGGTGCTTGTCTGCGTAGACGGTGAACCGCAGCTTGCCGAGCCTTTCGTCCGTTTTCATCCATGTCAGAAAGAGAATGCGTGGTATGGAACGTGGTTATATACGCATTTGAGCATTCGACCGCAGCGTTACATGGATGAAAACGAACCAAAGGCTCGGCATGCTGCGGCTCAGCGTCTACGCAAATAAGCACCACCAGAGCTTCGCCCCAATCAACATCATTCACCACGTGGAGATGCGGTTGTTTTTTTGTCCTACCGAACTACCGAGCCACTGAAAGGGGCGTTGACAAGCCTCCACAAAGGCCAAGGCTGGGGAGAAGGACACATTATGATCTAAAATGGCAATATTGAATTGGCCGGTCAGAACGGAAGGTCGGTTATGGCGGCGCCTATGCACTCCTGCTTGAAAGCGTCTGTAGGTCCAGCAGTGGTTCAGTGAACTATACGAATAGTATTTAGAAAGGTTTGTTAATAACCTTGGAGTAAGTTGAGGTTGCTTAAAACGCGTAACCCATCGTTTAGTTACAGAAAGTACGGACAAATCCTTGGTAAAATAAATTTGTCTTTGCCCCCCCCCCCCAAAAAAAAAGCAAAAAAAAAAAAAAAAAACAAACAAACAAGCAGAAAGCAAAACATATTGAGGAGAATTTGGACTTATGGGATCAGAAGCACACAAACCCGCTTGCCGGGGTCTCTCCGTAGACCAAAGCTCGGAGCGGTTTAAAACATTGTCATGCCGATCCCTTTTGTTGTTCTTTATTTGTCCTTTTTTCTGGTTAAAGAGCAATTGTCTTGTATGTATGTTTAGACGACGGAACGTTAGTTTACCCCAAGGGTGTCTGCTTGCCTTGCTTCGAATATTTTGTAGTCAGAAGCTGCGTGAGACTCACACTTGCCTTCGCGCTGCCCTTCCCCGTTGCAGTTGTACCTGCTCGTACTGTGCCTGGTAATCGCCAGCACGCTGGCCATCAAGGGCTTCGGCAAATTCGGCCACAAAGGAGGATTTGGACACGGTGGAGGATTCGGACATGGCGGAGGATTCGGACACGGAAAGTTCGGCCACTACGGATAGGCCCTACTCATCTCAGAATGAACCCTGCCAAATAAATGTAGATACTTGAATTCCGAACCAGACAACTTGCCTATCTGTTTCCTCTTTTTTTCCTTATGATTTTCAAATGTTTGTGGACTTTTCGCTTGTATCGAACTGCAAACTTTGCGGTTTTGACACTATGAAAGGTCACGATGCTTGAACGCCCTTCGTCTGATGCTTTGCCCGATAAATGCTCGAATAAACAGCGGTTCTGAGCGTTTGTTTCCACCTTTCCATCCAGGGATTCTATCGCTCTGGTGGAAAATCCTTAGTACTGTGGACGCATGTGCGATGACTGATAGTCGGCATAAGAGAGCTACTGCGTACACTCAGAACGCGTTCCCCATTCCACCAGAAAAAGACTGAGAGCACTCTGAAGGCGATGTGTTGGAATGGTCTATAGCAGCACCACCTAGATAAACGAACCCGCGCAACCCGGAAAAAAATCAGCACCATCAGCTCTACCCATGAACAATAAAATCAGTATCATCAGCACCACCAGAGCTTCGCCCCAATCAACATCATTCACCACGTGGAGAGGCGTCCATTTCGCGACGCTAGCACGCGGGAACGCCAAGACGGACGCGTCTTCCGCTCTGCGGCCAGTGTCGTTGAGCTTCCGCGTATTTGCCGCTTGAGGCGGGTCGGTGGCTTACGACCGATGACGTCATGCGCAGGCCTTGTATTCTAGGTTGCACTTTTTATACTTAGCTAACCTTTGTACACACCACCCCGTTATCAAGACATTAGCTCCTAGGCGCCCGTTTCCGGCTTGAGCGGCGTCGCCGTCGCCGTCGGCGTAACCGCGCGGTGCATTATGGGAAATTTCCCATAATGCACCGTGCGGGGAGGGGGAGGAGGATGAGGGAGAGGAGGAGCAGGAGGAAAAGAAAGGAGGAGAGGGAGGGGGAGGAGGAGGGGAAAGAGGAGAAGAGAAGGGGGGGAGGAGGGATGAGGATGGGAGAGGAGGGAGGGGGAGAAGGAAAGGAGGGCAGGAGCTAGTAAAGTATTTGGCAGGAGCTTGAAGGATGAGGGGAGGCGGACGTGAAGGAGAACGAGTAGCAGTGAGGTTGAGCAGTTGAGGAGGAAGGAGGAGGGCTATATCCTCCCCTCAGTACCCTTCCCACCTCCTCCTCAAGAGCTGCGCTCTAATTCGGCGTTACAGGGTGTTGTAAACGTCTTGCATTTTTTTTTTCACAAAGCGTTTGCTTGTTTACAGTGTTGCGCAATTTACATCTATAAAGTACTTGAAGTAAAGTACAAAGTAAATGAGAGGTTATGTACTTAAAGTAGTAAGTACACCGGGTTCAATGTACTTGAAGTAACGTACTATAAATACAATATATTTCAAGGTAAAGTACAAGTACTTTTAACACAATCTATCAAGATGCCCTTTCCTTCCCTATACAGTGTTTGTTTAATTGGTATGCATTGCTCCAGGGGTAATTGGAGCTGCATAGGGTTTTTATGGAAATGGCAGCAAATTTTGTATTAATTAAAGTCGCCACAGAGTAGTTGTTTTACTCTCGCTGACGAGCCATTTGACACAATCAACATATAAAGCAAATATTTGTGTCGCTCTTATAGCCGCCATTACTTCACTCAGAGAAATGACCCAATGACGTCTCCAAAGAGCGCGTTTTCACATGACGATTGGTCATTTTTTATCTTCAAATTCGGGGAATGTATACATTGAAGTCGGGAGTTTTAAATTCTTCGGGAAGCACCAGAAAATATACTTTAGTAAAGTACAAGGACATCCTCAGAGAAAGTAAAGCACAAGTTTTCTACACAGTAGAACTTTAAGTACCATGTACTTAGAGTACTTCCCAACACTGCTTGTTTATTTTATATATATATATATAAAATATTGTGGATTTACTAAGGTTTTTCGAACGATCTTCATATCTTTAAAGATCTGCATATTCAGAGCTTTTGGAGGAAAGGCAACGCAAAAAAGTCACCTCTGCGGTGCTTTTTAGCACGTGATTCTTCGAGTACAGCACAAACTACGGGAGCACCCTGATGAACTTCAGAGCGGGTGCTGCATTTTGTTGCCTCCTTTGAGTGAGGATACAGTGTGCACGCCTCCTGTAGTGGGCGAGAGTTCGTACGTTGGGTAGAAGCAGGGACCAACCCTTTGTTCAAATAAGTGAAGTATCCTTGAGCTTCGGGACACAAAGAAACGTCAGTCTTCGACGCTAATCCCACAGTTACTCGGCATCGCTTGCGTCGTGTCAGTTCGCTCCCCGCGCCTCGTACCAGTGTTGCTGCAGTGGGGGGCTCTTGTCCTGTCCTTTCTTGTGATATTGAAACGATGCAGGGCTGCAATCGGGCAGGCTCGCCAACATTGTTATTTTCCAAACATGTTAGCTTTTACCTTAGGCTAAAACACAAATTCCTGTGGCCAGGTATAGCACAGCGACCTAACTTCGAAAAGTCTTGGAGCCGCGTGCTGCCCTGGCCAACGCGAACTAGGAGAGCACCGAATGCAACTCCCAGCCGCACAGGACAGCCACCTTGAACTGCAATGTTCGTAGCGGCCAAGCGCCGTAGCACGAGTTTATCCGCAGCAGCAAGAACAGAAACCGATCCCAAATAAAAACCCCGTGCCAACAGCAATACGAGACTGTTCACGGCACACACGTCGGCAACAACACGAGTTGCTCGACACGGCGGGTACGCTGCCCGGCTGCCAAAGCCCGTCTGCAACAAAACAAGTTGCTTAGCGACGTTAGTGGCAAGCGTACCGCCCGGCGGACGCACCGCCCGACTCCGCAGAGTCCGCGAAAGTATTTACAACTATTCACATATTTACACCCCGGATCGTTCTGCTGAGCATCAAAAACTCATCGGTGCTACGGTCCATTCCCAACGAACACCTCGAGTGCCGTGGTTCACGATATCGTCCAGTGACCGCATGGCGGTCACCTTATGACACGCAATTACGACGCGGTTCCTACCACGTTCTCGGGATGCTGTTCAACCTCTCGCGCGTGTCCGGTAGCGCTGGTTAAACGTCTCCCAAACTCCGCAACGTTTTCGACGTCGCTTTTTTTTTTTTTTTTTTTGGAGTCACACGTTTCTAACGATGTCGGTACGTGCGACGCTCATTGACTCTTGCCGGAATCAATCGCGGGTGATCGGGAAATCTTTAAAGTTAGTTTTCCGAAAACCGTTTTTACGCCAGTCCTGTTCCCTCGATGGGGGCGGAAAGGCTTGGGAGAAAAATGAAAGGACTCACTCGGTAGTTCTCCGTGGATGGTCGATCTCGCTTCTGGATCCGGGAAGGTCCCGCCGTCGACGTGCTGACTGCTGAGGCCAGATTCATAAAAAACCTCTTACCTACGACAACTTAGCTACGAAGTTCGTAAAGTTACGATCATCGTAAGATGAGGCGAGAACGGTATTCACAAACGCGTTCTTAAGTGAGAGGAGGAAAGTTACGACCTCTTACGGAGAAACGATGACTTCCGGTGTTGTTGCTATGGCAATGGCGTCTTCGGCAGGACGAACAACCAATTAGAGAGCTAGGCATAGTTCGGAGCACGCGGATTTTTAATAACAAACACAGGCTAACCACTCGTTGATAGACAGCTCTGTGTATGTCCTGTCCTGTCTGTGTGTAAATGTGTTGTGTTCAAGCTGATTCTCATAAACACGGGCGACCTTTCCACCACCGCTTGTCTGGGGTTCGTGTCCGTGCAGTGATAAATCGACGCTAACACGATTTAAACGCTTCGTTGACTGCTACAAACTCGGTCGCTACGAAGTCAACACAACTGTCATCGTTGGTAAAAGCCCCGTGCCAGTCGTTTGCAAAGCGACGTAGAAGGAAACAAACCGCCGCGGCGTTTCTCGCGGCCTCGGAAATGCAGGAGTGAGCGGACGTTAAAAAAGATACGTCTGAACTACGAGAGTGTCAGCAAGAGTCACGCAAATACCTGTTCACACTCGGAGCGGACGCGTGCGTTTGATCGAAGTGCTGGATTCAGACTGCGTTTCGGTAAGCGCTTCGGGACCGATCTTCTACGATTGCAACTCGATACTGACGTGACACTCGGCAATGAAAGGTTGGACCGGCATCGCGTAGCTCCCACAAACTGATACAGCTCGACAGTTGAAAATGGCATACTAATAACAAAGTGTACATACCGTGTTGCGAAGGTAATCCATACGGCGTTTATTTGAGCTCTATATCACACAAAACAAGGAGATAGAATCGAGGAGTCCCTTTTCGACGACAGCGTTCGTCACCGCTGCCTCGGAAAACAAGGTGATCGAGATGATAAGGGGAATCGGTTGACCTCTGAAATTTAGTTCAGCTATCAAACTATTAATACGGGGAGGGTCCACAAGGGTCGCGCGGGCATATTCCATTCAGCAAGCCAGCCGGTCGTGGGCAGGCGGTCTTGGCCAAGGACCGTCTGAGCAATGCTGCGCCGGAACGGGTCGGAGACTCGGAGTGCCTGCTAGGCCTATATATTCTGCCGAGCTCGCTTGGTCAGTGGGATCGTCGCCTTTGTTGCCTTTTCCGGGTGTCTGTGGATCCAGCGTTCATGGTCGTCGTGGTCGGTTTCAAGTACTTCTTCATTTTTTTCTTGCTGCTTGACGCGCAAGAAGAGCAGGTAGAAAAATGAATGCCGTTGGGTCGTCGCGACCGAGCAACTGAGCGACGTTGTCGGCCATGTTAATTTGATCGTAGAAAGTGCGTAAGACAGCTTCGGAGCTGTCGTAGGATTTTGTCGTAACCTGCGCAAAAGTTACGACAATTTTGTTTCGAGAATACGGATTTTCTCTCAAATTTGTCGTACGCATTTTTTTCGTCGTAAGTTCGCTTCGAGAATCCGGCCTCTGGTCCGTTGTCGCAGCGTAGAGGGGCACCATCGGCGGTCTCCATACGCGCGCTGCGTATTCCAGCAGTGGGGGAATGCAGGCACAGCGCATTTTCTCGCTCCGAGATACGCTTTTAGTTTGTGCGCTGACGGGGTGTCCACTCTGGGTGGGCCCCGCGACCCGTCTCAAAGGCAAAAAGCTGCAC